GAGTGCAGAAGGGCAGGTTGAGGCAGCCGCTTGGGGTGGGAGGGAGCGCCGGACGGACTGTGATAGGGAGCGGGTGAGGTTATCAGGTGCAAGACATCGTTTTCGGCAATGCAGGAAATTAGACCTGTTAAAAAAAAAAAAGGTAAAGGAATTACTTGAATTCAAGCGAAGGCATACGAATATGACAGGTTAACCTCGAAAGACACGCTTCAGCTTTTTGAGCCCCAGAACGGGGACGGAGAAGAGAAGAGTTCTTGAAGACTTAGGAGTGAGGACCTCAGGTCAGAGAAAGGAAGGAGGAAGAGGAAGTGGGGAGGTTGGAAGGGGAAGGAAGCGTTTCTGTGGGGGACGAAGTTGTTTAAGTAAGTTGGGCAAGTTTTTGTTACATATAGAGAAATCCTAGATTTGATCTGTTATAATGTCAGAATTAGCAATCTAAATCCGTAAGTGAATGGCTTACTATGAAACTGTAGCAGCCAGCAGCCCCTTTTAAAGAGTTAAATTGAGAAAGAAATGAAGGATAGCTGAAATTAGATATCCCCGCATCTCTCACTAAGGATTCAACCCAGGGCTTTGTGCTGAGTTAAACAGGGGTCTCCCACTGTAGTCAAGCAGGCCTCTAACTTGAAAAGCCCTTCTACCACAGCCTCCCTAGTGCTGGGGATTGCAGGTCTTCATCTCTTTACCCAGCTAACAACTCTTTTTTTTTAATTTTAAATTTTGAGTTAGTCTCACCAAGTCATTAAATTGCCCAGGCTGGCCTTGAACTTGTGATCCTTCTAACTCACCCTCCCAGAGGGAAGTTACCTCTTTTAAGCCATTCCATGGTGATGATTTCTGAATAGTAATCTGGTTAACATACACAAAACCAAACCAAAACAAACTCCATTGTACTGCTTCATTCCCTAATTTATTCTTTTGTTTGTTTGTTTGTTTTGGAACCAGGGGTCAAACTCAGGACCTTGCATTTGTGAGGCAGGTAATGGAACCACTGAGTGAAATCCTATTTTAATTGTTTGTCTTCAATCTTCAGATTATCTAACACTTGACATCTTCTCCAGTATGGCTCTATAAAAAGCTCCTGGCTCGTGCAACAAGCCCTGCATTA